CTACTACTACTACTACTCTACTAGTAGTGCACTTCAATCACTACCACGATTGTGAGGTGAGGCGCAGTGTAGTGTGGAGCCCCTCGACTCCTGGACCCTCCTACTATACTGTACTACTGTTGTACTACTACTGTACTACTACTGTGCTACTACTGTGTTGCTACTGTGCTACTCTGTACTACTACTGTATTCGTACTGTACTTCTTTACTGCTGCTGTTCAGCTTCCTGACAGAAGAGCGCGCGAATCGCCCTCGAAGAGGTCCGCGAAAGAATGCAGGAGCAGATTAATCACTTTACTAGAGATGGCTTAGCTTGAGAGCTGCAGAACTGGTTCCCTGGCATCAACGGTCCTCCCGCTGGAACAGTTGCAGGATTCGGGGTCATCCGGATCAAAGACGCAGCCCTCGCCGGCCCTGACAGTTCAACTAATGATGTTGTGGGACCCGTCCCGTCTACTCCCTCTGCTGTGATCACTTTCAACTCAAATGCGTGACTAGCCATGATGGCAGCCACACGAGGCCTGACCGTCTCCAAAGCCTCCCGTAAGGCTTTCACAAACCTAGGAGTTCAGGAAGCCTCTCACAAGCCTGCTTGCACCTGCGGCTACTACTGCAATGTCTGCGTATGTCTGCATTCTGTCGCTCTGCATGCGGGACGCTTGTCGATCTCTTCCGTTGTGTTGTAGAAGGCGCAGCTTGCCCTTGCGGATCCGTACGTCGCCTCGAGAGCCCTGTCACAACAAACATCAAAAATGATACTGGCGCTTGATCTATTGAACGTATTGTCCATCCCGAGCCTGTGCAGTGGCTGTGCACAGTGGTGCCCTGCACGGATGGCCACGCCGTCGACATCCAAGACTGCAGCAACATCCTGCACTGCGCTGGTTCGGCTCCAGACTGGGCCCGGGGCGATCCTCCCCAGCATCCCTCTTCTCTCCTGTGGGTAGATGTCCGGCTCCCTCGGTGTCGTTCGCATAAGAAACAGAGCTTCAACTCATCTGCCGCACTCAACCGATCTCAACCGCTAGCAGAGCGGCGTGTCATTGAAGGCCACCAGAGCTGCACGTGGTCCAGCTGAGGCCTCACACGGTCCAAAGTGGTCCAAAGCACAAGCACAGCTCGGCTGCGTTCCGTCGGCTGAGACCGGCGCCGGGGGCCCATAGAGCCGCAGACCAGGAATGGCTGAGAGCGACTGGCACGGCATGTGCTTGGCTTGGCTAATACATGCCAACCTAGCCCTGCCTCCCATAAATACCGTGCCAAGAATTGCTCGTAAGCCTTCATGACAGAATCTTGCAGCGTCGCTGCTTGTCTTGGCATCCAAAGCCATCCGTCCGGCCTCCACTTGGTCCATTCCCAGCTCAAGCAGGTAGTCGCATGCAACGCCTTTGATTCGTTTCGTCTCTTCCCTAATCCCGGGCCAACGGGCCAAAGCCTACTTCGAGGCACGGGCCCAAGCCAACCGCCTGCGCAATGGGTGGCGTTCCTGCCTACATGCATGAAGGGTGGGGAGTCAGAATGAAACTGGGCCGGGGCAGCAACGGAGAGGAGGAGAGAGAGAGAGAGAGAGAGGTGACATTTCTTCTCGCGCTCGTGCAAATGCAGTGGCCTCGAAGCGCGCCGGGACATCGGCATAGAACGACACGTCCTGTTGCCCAAGCCCGGCGGCGCAGGGAGGACTTGGCAACCCCCATCTACTTTGGAAACCACCGGCCAGCCACTGAGTCCCTACGCAAGTCTTCCGGGCGGTCCATGTGAACCTCTTTGATCATCTCCCCTCCTCCCTTCCAGGGAGGCATGGCCTCTGCTCAGCTCATGATACAGAGCATGGTGAGTTGATATCTGCAGCTCTTGACGTTGACAAAAGCTGAAGGCCTCGAGAAGCTCCGGCCGGCCCCACAAAAATCCGACCCCGGTCGGGCCGTACATTTTGTGGCCTACAGGCACGACCAGCAACAGCAGTTCTCTGCCCAGGTAAAGGACACTGCTCTTCAGCATAGAAATGAGCCAAGGGCTGGAGGCAACCAGGAAGTCGATGCCAAGGTCTTGCACATCCTCGTGTGCAAATGGATGCAGGACTAGAGCTGGGATGTCAATGAGACGGCACAACACGAGGAAGCAATACCGTGTGGGTGCGCAAGGGTTAAGACGGGATTTTGCACGCTCTGTGCTCGTCTATCTCAGCCGAGCTTCAATTTTTAGATGCGGAACCGACTGGCAAGCATCCAGGAGAACCTGCGACACCGATTTCAACAGTGCAGTGAAAGTGCAACGTCCAAGTCTTTCCCCCAAGCTTCCTGGAAGCCTGGCAGACCTCGTACAAAAAACGAGCCTTCGCACCCACTGCATGTGCCGCCTCTGCGATTTCTTTCACCTGTCATGCGGAGAATGCTGCCTGTCCTACAAGTTTTCAGCAGAGTGCGAGTGTAACACCCCTGAAATGAGTTGCGGCGAAGTGTCTGGGTTGATGCAGCCCAGCGTGTTTGAGATATGGACGAAGGCCACCATCCTGCGGGGGGAAGGGCAAAACAAGTATGTAAGTGGCCTGTAAGGCAAGCACCGTTGCAAGAAGCGCAAGCCAAACACAGCCACAAGCATGAGCCGGGTTGCTTCGTCCGCGGGCTGAGGAGGCGGTGGAACTCTTCCATGTCAAGGATGCCCTGGCCAAGTTGAAAGCCGGTGCAAACTTCAATACTTTTGTTAAGGCCGTCACCCAGCCTCCTCTGTCACCCCCACATGTTTCAAGGTTGCTCCTGTTCTCTGCGTTGCCAGCCTCATTGACATGCTCACTGTGATGATGCGACGGATGGTCGGCGAGGGGCCCTCACAATTGCACCCCATGAACCTGCATTATCATTACGACTCAAGCCTACATTGATCTTCATGCAAACAACCATGCAGGCACACGGATATGTGCTGTTCTTGCTCGTGTTCGATGAGCTTGTATTTCCCTCTGGTCATTCCCTTCTGGCTTCAAGCTTCAGGGATTGCCATCCCCCACTCCTTTCAGGGCGTAGCACTCCACACCGCAGGGCTTGCGACATCGCACTCCGTTCAAGTCGGTTTTTCAGGACTAAGGGTTTGGCACTGTTTGCGACTGCATCTGCTATTCGAAGGTCTTACGATGATGACGATGATGATGGTGATGGATTTCCGCCGGTTGTTCGCACGAGGTAAGCTGTATTTGCACGCCGCTGCGGTTCGTGAGCAGATGGTCCAGTACCCGTGCTGGTGCTCGTTGACACGGTGTTACAGCGTCCTCCACTGCAAGCCTGCAAGCCAATTGCGATACAGTTGGGCAGCAGCTTGGCGTAGCTGGAACCACTGCAACAGACAATGGAATTTTACTTCATCCAATCGGGAGAGTCAGCGAAGTACATGCTGTGATATACCGTGATCATATGTGAACACCCCAACAGCCAACGGTCATGTGATGTGCCCTGCCAGTGAGCACGAAATGCCAACGACAACTGAGGCCGTCTTTGCAGGCAAACATACTGAGTATCCCCAAGGGAGCACGAAACAAGCGAAATGTCAGCGTCGAGTGGCCTACGCTGTGAGCAGATGTTTGCGATGTCATGACACAATGCATCCGAGCAACTGCCACGGCACAATGTTGGAGTGATGTTCCATAACCTAGGAGTCGGCCAGTCGGCCATGGGCCAACATTGTCCACGTTGGACATCTCGTCGTCCAAGACAGAAGGCATAAATACTTATCAAAGCTCAACTAGTGCATCATCATAGTCAAGACCCCATCGAGACGCTGCTAATTCCGGTAAGAAACAGTCTCCATTCACCTTCATCAGCCTAGCCTAGACTCGGCCTAGATGTCTGCCACGGGGCCGTGATCAGAACCTCGTCTCCGGGACCCAGGTTTCGGCTGCCCCAGCTTTCAGCAACCAGGTTGATGGCATCTGTCGCACCGCTTGTGAAAACGATCCTTAGAGACTCAAACAGCTTCAGTCCGCATCGCACTACAGAATCCTACAGATCACACAGATGTTTTACACAAGTGTGCATAGCCCGTTCCGGTTGTGGGAGCCGAAGCGGCTCCTGTGAGCTTTTGGCGCCGATCAGAGTGGCCACGGAGCTCCTGGCGTGCTCGAAGGCCTCAAAAGGCAGCTAGGCAGACAGAGGCAGACAGCCTGGTTTCCAAGGGCTTAAACGCTTAACGAACAAGCTAAAAGGGTCTGATGTACTCACAGGATCTTCTTGGAGTCGATCCTGAGGAGATTTGGGAGACACAGAGCGCCTCGGTGGCTCGTTCGGCCAAGGCGTAGGCACCGCGGTGGACGTTGGCGGAGTGCTCCTCAAAGTAAGAATCAGGTGCGTTCGCTTCCAGCCATGCACCATCATCCCCTCTGAAAGCCGAGTTGCATAGTACTCTGTCAGTGCCTTCAAGACGCACGTCGGCTTCTGAGATGTGGCCTTCGTCGCATGCTCAGGATCACGGCGACGTGCTGGGTCTAGCCCAGTTTGTCTTGTGCAAATCTTGCGCAGAGATCATGTCTGAATTGGAGCCCGGCCCCAGAATCCAAGTAGATAAGGGGCACCTCAGGTTATTAGAGACTCACCAGGCTCATGCTCAGTGAAACTGTCACGGGTTCTCAAAAATCCATCGTGTTCGGCATGCTTTGGACTAAACATGTGCTAAGCTAGGCACTCCCGGATAGGCTTCGGTGCTGAGAGCCGGAAAGTCGCCCCTGACCTCAACGAGCTGTCACACTGGAGGAGAGTCGCATTCCCGTCAAATCAACAAAGCCGATGGCCTTGGATGCCAGGCTCCGGTCAGCCACGCCTCCGCCACCCCAGGGGCCACATCGGAAGCATCAGGATCCACCGCAAAGCGAAGCTCACGGAAGCTCCTTACCGGCATGCGCCTTGGTGCTCGGCAGAAGGAGCTGGCGGTGCCTGGCAAAGCTTCGCAAACTCTTTCAATCTCAAAATCAAACATCACGCTCATCCTATGCATCGCCCCTTGCCCGCAGGGCTCTACCAGTAGGACACTTACCCTTAGCTTGAGCTAGTTTCTAGAAAACTTCTTACGGGGCTGGGCCGCACTGTTGCACAGAACAGAAAAGCTCGAAAGAGGAATTTGGCGCTGTGCTTTGTTTTGCTAATCTGTTTCGAAACGAACCCTTGCTGGCGGTGCCGTCTCAAAACCGCCAGCAAAAACGTAGCAGTCGGTGGAAGTAGGGGGGAAGCTTACAACAAACGACGGCGGTACGATTTTCCCGCATCCCGGCCCCGGGTGTCTTGCAAAGCGCAGGGTCCCTGGCAGAGAAACGGAGAGCCGATGATGCTCATGATGCGGGGCGCATGGACGAGCTGAGGATGCTGACTACATTGTACATGCTCGGCATTATGCAGCCAGGTGAGAGCCTGAGCGACACGCTCATGCATGAGCATTTGCAACAGGAGCGGTTGACGTAAGGCTTAGCAGAGAAGTGTAGTGTAGATTCGACATCCATATCAATTCTTCCACGTAAGCATTCCGTGAGTGTCTCTGTCCGTCTGCGTGGTCCCGCGGGTCGGGAATGGTGCGGGCAGCGTGTGGGGGTGGGGGTCACTCCCGCTCTTCTTGGTCCATTCGATGAACCTCCAGTGGAGCAGCCACAGCGCGAAGCCGCCGGGACTGACAAGGCCAAGGCTTTGATGACATGTTGCATGTTCCCCACCTCTCACAAGGAAGCTTGCCTTCTGTACCGCTGCTGTCGCAGCCACCAGCACCGCAGTCTGGAAGCTTGGCTTGGCCTATAGCGTCTTGGTCTTAAAATGTCTTCGTCTTTCCGTTCTTTCGCCAGGGCCGGGCCTGGCCGTCTTTGGGCCTCCCGCTCGGACGGCCCCTGCGGGCCTCCCGCAGGCCTTGGCCGGAAGGCCGCAAGGGCGCGTGCCTGGCTGGCCCAGGCCCGGGCCGCTTCAAGGCGAAGGCGTAGGAAGCGGAAGCCGCGGGCTCCATCTTCGAGCGGACTGGGACTTCTATGCCAACTTGAAGTTCAACTGAGCGCTCTCACTTGCACACACAGCCACAAGTATATACATTGCCAAAAGGACAAATGTCGGAAGCTGCCCAAAGGTGAGGTGGGAGGTGGTCTTATTGAGCAAAAGCCTCAAAGCAGTCAGACAGGCTTGCGACGTTTCCTGCGATGCACTGAGGAATTGGACCCTTAAAAGGCTCCAGGTCGGATGATCCTATGGCACCGCGCTCTGACTTACAGGAATCCTGATACTGTACTGCCGTCGAAGTAAAGTACGTGAAGCAGTAAAGCTGAACACCTTCATATCCGGATCTGGCCACTTAAGACTCTGCTGTCGTGGGTCAAGAACCCTGCCGCGCCGCAAAGGAAGTACGCACAGCGAAAGGAACGAAGGCCCAGTCCTTTCAGAAGGAATCAAGTCCGGCTCCGTGGCAGAAGCAGAGCATCCGCACTCTACACATCTCGTGGCAGAAAGCTCGCAGTCGCAGCTGCCATGAAGCCTACTCCGCTTGAAAGCTGCGTCTCCTCTGGTGGCAGGCCATGTTCGGCAAGCAGTGGGATGGGCATGCAGCCTTCCTGCAATTGACTGCAGGTGACAAACTTGTCCAACGGTGCCTCAAGAGCTCGCGGACGCTTTTGCTCTCTTGCCGCTGCGGCATGCTGCGAGTTGCCTCAGAAAGCGCAGGCAAAGGGCCTCGGAGCAACGGAGCGACGAGCGTAGATCTCCGGAAAATCAAAGCAGCTCCAAGACAGTTTGCATGTTTGCGCCTTCGTTGCACACGGCCTGCTACCACGAGTCTGGCCGTTCAAGGCAGAGCTCATCGCACGGTTCATTCACACGGCACATCGGGGCCGTCCGGCCATGAGCTCGATGAGCATCTTTGCACTCCAAGGTCTGAGGTAGCTTCATGGGCATTTCTGCATGCGAGGTGCCCCAGACAGAAGTTGTCGCTCTACATCTTGTGATGACTGCTGAGGCTCGCGTCTTGTACGTGGATGCCTTGCAGGAAGGCCACAGATGACATCGACTTGGAGTTTTGCTCCATCGAAACTACCCAGCTTGACGAATTAGCCACACGGAGGGTCCAAAGATGCAGGAGGACAAACTCATGGAGAGAGGTGTCCTGCAGACCAGGTGGACCGGCATTGAGGTTTGAGTCGTCTTGCAATGCGCATACCTCTCTGGTCCGCTGATGGTGCCCTAAATTTTTATTCTTGCGAGGCACCGGCTTCGCCAGTCCCTCACGCACCAGCCTGCGATGGCATTAGCTGCGCCTGAAACTCGTGTAGCTTGCAGCACTTTCGAGCGCAAGCCGCAAGCACGTCAAAAAGCAGTGAGGTTGTTCGGGTGACTGGCCTGCACAGCTGAAGATCTTAGGGCCTTGGGCCTTGCTTACCATGTCGATGCTTTTCGGTGCCCCCTGCAAGCAGACCGGTCAGCCCTGAAGAAACTCACCTTGCACAGGACGTTGTGTGAGCTGATGCTGTTCATGCCGAAGCCAAACACCGGCTTGCGAAATGAGTGCGATCTCTTTGAATCGCTTGAAAATCTGGAAGTGCCAAAGCCACATGCTACCAAAGAAGACATCATCCCGACACGCCACAGGCATTTTCAGCGTGCTACACCAAATTTGATTTGTCATGGAAGGGGCATCAGGTGAAGGCTGTGATCACTTCACTCGATGTACCTGCCAGGATTGCTGTGTTCATGATCGACTAGATGCTCACATTATGCTACTCGACCTAATTGATTGGCAACATGTCCAACTCCTGCTCCTGGCCTCTCACTAAGATCACCCGCTTCATATTGGCTGTCATTGCCTCAATGGAAGGGCAGGCCTTTCTTCAAGCGTGGACGGGATAGTGGTGCATTTGTGACGATGCGATGCATGGCATCTGCGACTTTCTGAGATGTGCACCTCCACGAGCTGGCAGTAACCTGGGTCTGTTAACTCGATGCCAGCGGTGCCAAGACAGCGTCCTCCACGGCCCATCAGACGGCAAGAGGCCCAGCGCGCTGTCAGATGGAGGCCTCGGCTGCCCAAGTCGGGGCCCGGTCGATGTCACACGGGTGGTCTCTGCTCCCGAGGCGCATGTCGGGGAGGTTGGTGCACACCAGGTCGGCCTCCTGGGACTCCTGAGGAGCTCATTTCTGAGAACAAGAGAAATCAAGACTCAGAAAGAAACATTAAGGGCAAACAAAAGGAGTAAGCGCCGCGAAGAATAATGCGTCTCCACCTACACTATGACAATCGACATAAATCGACTGATTCTTGTGTGGCCACTGCTGAACAGGAGATGGTAGTGTCCTCGAGGATGACCTTGTTCAAGGTCGACACCACCTCGGGCTTTAGCAGGATGGGCGCTCGTCTTCAAGCGTTCCTCTTGCAGCCGGAACGGCTGACAGCTCGTCGGGGGAACACGGCGATGTGGCAGCCAGCTGACGTGCCTACGGAGCAGTGAAGCTCGAAAGGTTTCAAACGAGACAAGGGAGCTGCCACCGAGTAGCATCGTGCAGGAAAAGGGTGCGCTTTCCTAGAGCGCACGGAAGCAGCACGGGACAAACTCATTGCAAAAACAAAGATGTTGAAGGCAAGGTGAGCCTCGGAGCTTGTAGCCGAGCTCAGACTTGAACTAATTTTCATCGTTATTGGATCAGACGTGATTTGCTAGGAAGCCAGGCCTCACCACTACCTCTCCCGAACATTGATCTCTGGCCGACGACTTCCCACGCTATGGACCCTGCATAAGCTTATGCAGGCTTATGATACAGATCTCAGTCCCAGGCCCTCGGCGCTCACTTGACGCTGGAAGTTGCTCCCGGAGATGTCCGACACCAAGGCGTTGGTGTGCGGGTTTGTTGGAAGCTGCCTCGCGCACATCAGAAAGGCGCGCGGAAACGCGACTTCCCACTCGTTTTGTGTGGCCAGCCTATCAGAGGCACCGGTCTGACGCTCGTCGGTGAAGTTCCTCGGCTGCAGAGATCATGTATTCAAAATGCATGTTTGCCGTCTGATCGGACAAGCAGCAGTTGGTCGACCGATGGCCTCGCCGTCGCCTGCGAAGGGCGACGTGGCTCTTGCTCACCGGGCCTGGCCTGCTTGGAGCTCGGCCTTTCCGACGGCCTGGGGACCGGGGCCCGGGTCTGTCATGGAGTTCATGGCCAAGTTGTCCTGCCGCCGCCAAAACCCTGCTCTGACTTCTGGAGGCTCCCCAGCCCAGGCTTTCTCCAGGCCTGCGGGGTATTCCACTCCCTGAGGCGTTCGGGGAACTGCTTGCGGCCGTGCATTGCAGACCTCAAAGCCGGCTGCCAGCCCAGCTGCCACTCAGTGCTTCAAGACCACGCTTCATCACGCTTCAAAGCAACTCAAGCCGGGTGGCCAGGTGTGGGAGTTGATGCTCTTGCTGTTCTCACCGCCGGAGCCGCCACTAACTGAGAATCACGACGGGGTGGTGAGAGGGGCTTGCAAGGAGCCACAGCATCTGCGCTTCTGCTTCCGGTTGGCATAGCATACACACACACACTAGGCGAAGCATCCGAGAGATTTCCGTGGACACATGCACTGCAGACCCTTCCCACACCCCAACATGCCAAAAGAAGCGCCTCTGCTGTCAAAAGAGCGCTCGCGCTGGAACTGTCGGCCACGCCACGTCTTGAGCGTGTCCTGCAGAAACAGCACCATCATGCGCGCAGCAGGCCTACTGCCCTCAACCACGAGCCATGAACATGCCAACCCTAAACGTCCGTCAAGCTTTGGCCGCTCGTGACGCGAGTGGGTTGATCATACTGCTCCGCCTCCCAGAGATCAAACTGAACACGTCATTGGATTTGCGAGAGGCTCGAGAAACTTCTCAAGGACTTCGCAACCTTCGGATGCTCTCGGCGATTGCGCATTCCGGCTTCCAGCTCCTCATACCTGAGCTCAGACGACGCCGGCACGCACGGACCCACAGCGGAGCAACAAACTTGCCACTCAGATCTCTTTCCTGTCTTGATTTGACCGACGTTCAAATTTTCGTTGTGTTTGGAGGCGTTTCCGTCACATGCCAGATTGCATGATCGCTGGCGCCTTCCGTAAATGTCAGCAGAGTGACTCACTCGGCACAACGTCGTCGGGTGGCTGATCCACGAAAAAACGCTGCCTCAGAGAAACAGCAACGACTCGACATGGGAACTCAAGACCGTAGCCGCCGTAGCATGCGTGACTCAACTCCCAGAGCGCGGCTGACCCTGTCTTCTGCAATGCGGATTAGCCACGCATCCGCTGCTACGCGGGCCGACATCCCGCTTTCCACGACCTCGTCCACAACCTCAGCAAACAGTTGGAAAAAGCTGTTGGAAAATCCGACTTCAAGGCCCAGAGCGAAGCGGCTAGCAAAACCCACCCTCCCACACTCTGCGTGTAGCTTTCACACATCAAAAAAACTCCAAACCACCCGACCTTGATGTGCACTTCCACATTGAGCCGGAAGTCTCTGACATACCTGAGTACATCACGTGCATTACTGCCCTTTGCATCAAGGAAAACACCTAGCTGCCAAGTATATTCTGTTCGAGGAGTCCTCCAGCTCCATACCCCCAATCAAACTTTCAGATCCTGCCCTGGTGATGCTGAGCACAAGCAAGGTGAGCAAAGGATGGTTGCTGCCCTTTAGTTCAACGGCGAAACGGCTAACCCGTGCCTGTATAGACTATTTGTATGCGGATGACAGCATTCAATGCTGGGCGAAGATCTCCCCACACCCCTGACATGAAGGAGCACACTCAGCTTCTTGCACACGGTTTCCGGCTTGCGTATAAGATACAGCTGTATGCAACCCACCCAATGGAGTCTTGGGGAGGAAAGCCAGCCAGCGGCTAGCACGTTGATTGCAGCTGTGCCGTTTCTCGTCTATAGGCAGACAACTAAGACCCTGCGCACTCGGGTTGTAGCTGTAGTCCTGCAGCTGAGCGAAAAGCGGGTGTACAAGCTGGCACCTGAGCCTGAACACGGCATCCCGGATCCCTGAATCCTGGCTATAAGGTCTCAGACACATGTCCAGCTCCCGCTGCATGAGGTCAACATCATCGCCGGCCCTGAAGGTTGTTGAGCTTGAGCTGGCTTTTTGAAGAAGGCGCGTAGGCAAACTTATGAATCCTTCCCACAGTTGCCTCGCCCCAAAGACGGCACGCCGAAGCATGGAAGCATGTGGAAGCATGGGGCTTAGGCAGACCCGGATCTCTCTCAAGCACTTTTGTCGGGCTCCTGCCTATCAGCCAGAACGAATAAGCGAATCCTGCAGCCAGACCAGACCCGGTGCTTCTTCAGAAGGCAGGGCAGCAGCAGCAGAACCTCACTTCTTGATTTGGGTCTGTGGCGAAGCAACCGGCTCATTCTTCTTTCGCACATCGATTGCATGGTGTTCTGCATAAGTGTCGGACGCCACCATCTCCCACAATCCACCAGATGTCGATGGTTCCAGTTATTCTTGCCTTACTTGGTGGGAGAACTAGCTTCAGTCAAGTCCGTGTATTCAAGGCGGAGTCAGCTCCAAGGAACATCGAACTCAGGCCATTCTTCGCCCTTCGTCAGGATCATCACCTGGCTCAAAACGCGCGCGAAGCAGCGTCGGCGCACGCCTCTCTGCAGCCTTCTGGAAGATGGCGGAGATCCTCACGGCACGGCGGCTTCGGGTTCTGCCTTTCTGGAGGTCCCCAACTGAGGCCACAGCTGGACCATGTTCACCTCAGAGCAAGACCCGATGCTTTAAACCGAACCCGGAATGAACCCGGAGGAGGCGCTAAACTGATGCTGCAATGGTGTGGGATGACGTTTGTGGTGTCTCGGCGCATGTCATCTTTCTTCTGCCAGGCGGCGAGCTTGCTGCGCGTGTTCACACCCGCCCGCCCGGGCTCAAGGGCGTCCTTGGGCCAAGAAGCCTCGGCTTGGCCCGGCTTGGCTCGTGAAAGATCCCGGAGCGCAGTTCTCGGGATCTTTGAATCGTTGCGGCTCGGCCACCAGCACACAGTTGGGCTCGAAAGCTCCAAGCCCCGACGACTGCACCAGGCCCGTGAGAGCCGTCGTGAAATCCTCCTGGCAGCGGCAGGTGATGTCCCAGGCCAGTGCCTGCTGCCACAGTATTTCCCCCCGCCCTTCGCTGATGACTGTATTGCATTGTGTCTATGCTGCGCTGTCCGAGTAGACAATCTTGCCAAAGCCATCGATCATGTACCTGCAGGATCATGCCACTCGCGTGCCGTGCCCCTGTTTTCGACTCCAGTTCGGGCACTTTTTGAGGAGCTCCTTCACCTCGAAGTGGCTCTCTGCCACTTGGTCCGACATTTTCTCCTCATGTCGGACGCGATGGGACAACATGTCACTGCTGCATCGGCGCACGATGTAGTCAAGGCAGGTCAAGGCACGCTGAGGAAAAGCCCGCCCTGCGACAGAAGCTTCTCTGGGCCCTGCGCGACACGTATACTCACTGCTAAGAAAGGAGTGTGTCATCACAAAGCTGGCCAGTGTCGGTTTTGTCAAGCTTCACTGCACAAGAAACTCAAGCATGGGCACGCTTGGGCGTGAGGCTTCTTTCTTTCGGAAGACGGGTCTGGGGTTCGCGCGCACTGCGGTGCGAAAGTGGCGAGGTGCCTTGGGGCAGCAGATGCCACCCAGAACGATGAAGCCGCGGCCGTTCTTCAGCTGGGACGCGATCTTCAAAATGCCCAGGTCCGGGAAGAGTAGTGCCTCACCACTCGTCAGCATACCGCCTAAAAGCCTAAGCCATCCTAAGCCTACGTAGCGATCGGCTCCAAGTTGCAGATCCCTCGAGGGAGCTCAATGGCCTTCGCAAAAAATAACCAAGCGGATGCGACCCTCTCGACTCTCACAGACTCAGAGCATCATCTCAGTCATGGCCCATGCCTCATCTTTGGCTCGGTGACAACCAGCCTCAGTGACTTTCTCTGTCAAAGCGATAGCAAGGTAAAGCTCCCTCACAGAAGCACACGTTCAGTGAAGCCGCAGCTGAGGACGCCAGTTCTTGGCGTGGAGCTTGGCATCCATGCCTGGCTTGAGAAGCACAACCGGACGAAACTGCTTGCAACTCGGTGGCCGCTTGGTAGAAGCGAGAACTTCGCACAGTGGTACAACAAGCTCAACCAAGACAGGCTGCTTATGAGGATGTTCTTCGCCAACCTTCGCGGCACAAGGAAACAGAGGAATGTAACAACTGAATTTCTCACAGACAAGCACCCGAGCTGACCGTGGTTGCAGCCAGCTTAGAGTTCCGAATGGCTCAAAGCGGACAAAGAGTGTGCATGCCGAGGTGCTGGAATTTCATGCCCTGGAAGCCATCGCCCCACCTCGTGTTCGCGGAGTTGTACGCGGCGTAAGCGAGGATCAGGCCGCAGAAAATTATGGCCGCCATGGCAATCACAGCAGCCATAGCAAACATCATCCAGACCTCTCGTCTAGTTTGGCGAGAGATGCTGGCAACGGCCACAATTTCCGTGATCTGAGGCTCAAGCGCAGAGAGCGGCGGCAATGAGCGAAATGGACCAGTGATGGTAACCTAAGTCGCCCAAGCATTCAAGAACCATGTCACCGGGCTTCGCTTTTCCGCGCAGCTCAACGACTCGACGACATCTGACGAGCTTGCAGCATCTTGCAGCTTGAGCGGCGAAAGGTGGGACGCCAGTTCGGATCACTGACGAAGTGAAGGATAGTACAGGACATGTTCACCTGCAGCCGAGCGCTGAACTCGTCGGAGCACATCTCTGCTGCATTCTCACAATTCAACCGACGGTCTGCATAAATCTCTGTCCAAGCAACGCAAGTGTAGCACCTTGTTGCCAGCGGACTCACAGCAGGGTAGCATTTGCTTTGGGGGCTCGCTTTGATAGTAATGAGAGAGATTTCAGGAATGAGACGTGTTCGAGGCCCCGTGGATATTTTAAAGGGGGCCTCAGGGCTCCGTGGTTCCAATCGGAGCTGGGTGCGAAATCATGGAAGCTCGGTCAAGGTGCATGAGAAAGAACATTGTCAGCAGCGGAGCGATGGCATTCAACCTGCACTTTTGGTCGTTGCAGGTTCGCTCTTGGCTCAGTTCAGAGGTGACGTTAGCACCGAGACCCGAGCTCACCAATGGTGATAGACAGTGCACAGAGAGCTCCACTCGCCTGCAGTCGACTGCTTGAGAGTCTCAACGCCCCAGCATGGCCACAGGGAGACTCACTTCACTTGCTACCGAGTTGCCAAAAGCGCCAGTCGCGGTTCTTTTCCCGGAGCCTAGGAAATGAGTGAAGGACAGCAGGTAAGTGCAATTGCTAGACTGCATTAGACTGCTAGACTCTGGCCGGGATCCTCGCGGCGCGAAAGAAGCGAAGTATGGGCAGAGTGCCATCACCTGCGATGGCGCTGAGAAGCTTGGTACCTCGCAGTCAAGTGCTGCTGCAGGCGAGGCGGCGAGCCCGTATCCCTTGCTTAAGCCTGGCCTGACACGAGGGAGTTCAAGCCCGCACCCAAGCTGGATGCCATGACGCCGTAGATGACAATCTGCGAGTGTCGGACCGAAGTCTTTGTCCCTTTTAAGTGCACGGAAACATGTTTGCAGTGTGTATGCCGTGCTTGGGAATATGATGCGAGTTCATATGTTCATGGCTCGGATTCGAGATCTTCAAGGCCTCTTCTTCGACTTTCCCCTGCTGCCCACCGGCCTCCTTGAAAGGGAAAGCCGAGGTTGCTGCCTGCGAGTAGAATCGCACATGACATGAGGACTCTCTGCCTCTCTATCTCTCTCTGGCTTTCTCTTCTTCTTTCCTTCTGTGGTCCTCGTTTGATGTCCTCTCGGGAACAACCTGCGACAGCTTGTCGCCCTTCGAAGAGGTCACCAAAGTAGTCTACTTACTGCTGCTCCACTCTTACCGCCTAGAGAGCGTGCGACTAATCCTAGGAGGACATCACAACAAGATTCGTCTAGCTGATTTAGTGACACTCTGCTCCCCCCACTCGTATCTCACTGCGAAAGCGTACTAGGCACAATGTCCAAGGACAACTTTGTGGCGCAGGGAGCCAGGAGCTGTTGAGTATGACTCCCTCTCTGGCAGATTCTGGCAGCATCTGCTCTGCATGTCGTTTGTGCTGCAAAGCGGCGAAGAACTTGTCGTTCAAAAGGGTCTCTCGAGGAGCCACGCTCCCGAAAACCTCGAAAGAATGGCGAGCAGCTCGCTACGGCACTGCTCTGGCTACGGCTTTGGGGCGCCGGGCAAAAATGAAAGAAAGGTAGATGAAGGATGTGGAGAGCTGCGCGAAGAGAGTCCTTACACTCAAAACGGCTATAGCCCCGGCTAGGACTGACTTCGGATGCCCTCGCGATGCAGCATGCAACCAGAAAATCTCTAGGCAGGATCGGGCGTCCCCTTGGGAATGGCGCTCGTGGGGTCCATGAGGTCCGCCGACCGATTCGCGCCAGCCATGATGCCAGTCACAGATGGGAAGTAGAGACCCATCATGTTCACGAAGCTGTACCTCAGGTCAGATCTAGAGATATGTATAGCCATATTTTAGATATGGTAAACCCTTGGGTTATCTTGGAATCTTCCAAACCATATAGAGTCGCCACAACACTCGGCCTGGAGGCGGAATCCTGTGTCCTTACTAGATTCTCTTGAGTGTGTGGGGGTGGGGGGGCTGGGCTCCGGTGTGCCTTTCTTCCTTGAGAAAATATCTGAAAACGCAACGCACTATCGTAAACTGCGGCGGTTCGCGCACTGACGTGGAGGATGCGAAGATGTACGCACGGCAACGATTCGCAAAGATTCGCGTGCACCAGGGATTCGCACGTGGAAAGCAGGGCTTCGCGCACGGCGGATTCGTGCCGAGGGCTTCAGGGAGTCAGGTCCGGGTTTGAAGTTCAAGCCATGAGGGGATCTGCCCACCCACGGAGGAGACCTGACGAGGAAGGCGAAGGTTCGGGACGGGGCCAGGGATGCTAAGGGAAACCTACACTCTGGAAGGGGAACGGCCATAGATACAAAAACACCCAACTCTCCAAGGAGATGGTTGCGGCGAAAAGTCTGATGACATCATGACGAAAACCTTAATCCAAAAAATCCTGAAGAACCTGTGAGGAAGCCCAAAAAGGCGCGCTGTCGGGTGCGAAAAATGCCCCAAACCAGAAGCCCTTCGTGAGTTGGTGGTGCAGAATGGATCACGCTTCTTGTTTGTGCTCGAATCGCGAGTGCCTGAGTCGGCTACAACCATGCATCGCCGGTGCTTGACCAACCCAGGATCGACTCAGACGTGCTCGAGGCTTGGTGCTTGAATCGGCAGAGCTGGAAACGCCGACGTACTTGAACTGCGAGTGACCCTAGCGTTAGCCCAGCGTGAGCGTGTGCTTTTGAATCGTGCCTCGGTCTCGTGAATCCTGGAGCTCTCTGCTGCCTCTTAACCCCTTCTGAAAGGATCCCCGACGGGCGATGCACCAGGCCCGTACTTCAAACCCTAAGCCTGCTGTCCGCTTCAAAGCACTGCAGAACGGCCCACAGAGCAATATGTAGCTGAGTCCGAAGCACACAAGGCTTGTTGACCCTGCCCCAAAAAGAAAGCTCCTTGCAGTCCACAGCGGCTGAGTGGTGTCCTTGGGAAAAGCACCCTGAGGGGCATCCCACGCAGAAGCCCAGTTGTCCGAGAAGGAAGTTCCAGACGGGCCTCTCTTGCATAGAAATGTGAGAAACCTTGTGATCCCCAGTGGCCCCATGGCCTGTCCAGGAGAGCGTCTTCTGAACCGTTGAACCATCCGCAGTGACCAGGTCGACCTGAGCATCAGAAGAGAAGGCGCCCCGCCACTCCGGATTCTGGCGCTTGGCCGAGTGGCTGCGAAGGTCGCAGGCCGCGTCTCATTTGGGCCCATCAAGCAGCCCACGTACATACAGAGGATCACAAACCTGGGATCCGCCATCAGAACCACTCCGAGACCCGATCAAGGGCACTGGATCCGAGAGCCCGACAACACCACCATGAGGAAAACAGTTCCCAAGCGTGAGACATACCTTGCAGTTTCTGCGTGGCAGAAAGACAAACTGGATCAACGGACGGCCAAGGTGCTTGATTCCACCAAAGATGATGACTACCGCGAAGACTAGGATCAAGTAGCCCGTCAACCGAACATTGTTCAAGTCTCCGATCTCTCCGATCCTGGGCCAGAAATAGCGACGACTGCAATGCTCCGAGCTACCTCTGACTAGGGCCTAGGGCCTTCTTGCAGATCAGGGGCTGGTACTCTGGTTGTGCTATCTCCCAAGCCTCTACACCTCAGCGGCACCGAGCTTTCTCCATTTTGGAAGGCCCGTGTCCATTCGCCGGGTGGCAGCCCATGAAGTACATGGCTGCTCCGATGGAGTTGGCCTTAGGAGCACCCTTGCAAAGCAGTAGAAAACGTCGTCTGCCAAGCTCACATTCGATGATGCAGAGGACGACGGATCGCGCAGGAATGCCACAAAACGCGGCGCGGCGATGGACGGAAACAACGCGGCAGCATCAGCTCACCACCACACCATGCAAGCTGTTGCTAGGAAACGAGAGGACACCCACCAGCCACAGTAGGCGCTTCCATGCAACGTCAGCCGGGGCTAGGGACATGCTCCTACATCTGCCTCACCACTAGCAAGGACAATGCGGACACCATTCCGATGGGTCACAAAGAAAGCCACACAGGTCCCAAAAAAGCGGAGGCGTGAGGCAAATGTCCTGGACGCAGCAATTTCCCTGCCAGAGAACGGCGGAAGAGCCCGAAAGGCCTGAATTGTAAAAGCACGACAAAAACAAGTCCCTGCAAGGTCGGATCCAGAGAAACACACAGAAACACACCCTGCGCAGGCCAAGTGTTCGGACTGAGCTTTGGGCTCTCACCTTCGATAAGAAGCAGAAGGGACCCGACCGAACGGGCGCAATGTCCAGACTGAACCGCAAACACCCCGTCAGAGGCTGGCGGTGCAGCGCCAACACTGGACAAAGCAAATTCCGGGAGCAAGCTCTTTCGTGCTCTTCCGAATGCTGCAAGCAGCTCTCCTCCGACATCTCTACATATGAACAAGATCGCATTACGGCTCGCTGCCACCAGGAGGCCATGTAGAAGCAGAGCCCCACTCCAGCACCCAAGGCCGGTCCCAGGGACCGCGAGATCCTGAGAGGCATCCGACGGCCCCGACAGGACGTACACTTCCCTGCTCTCTGTGCAATTCTGTGCATCTGGGAGTCAAGTAGTAAGCGCCGCCACCAGCGATCTTTCCATTCGTAGCAATTGCTGAGAGGCTGAGCGTTGTCAGGAAGGTGCATGTGCCTGCCACAGGCACCAGAAGATAGCAAGCTGATGTTGCACTATCTGAGAAGCACAAACACTCTTGTCACTCTTGTCAGCTTGCGACCAATTTGCAACAAACCAAGCCCACGCCAAAAGCTTCGAGAATGCCTCCCTTGCCAACTATCCTTGGAGCAATCGCGCAGTCTGCAACAAGTCGCTGCGATGACAAGCAGACTGTTGCCGGAGTGCCAGGGCCCACGTAGGAAGAGGATCACTCCCAGAATATTGCCCATGCATGGGAAGATGACCCCTGCGCCGCAATCGAGGGAAAGCAGCATAAGGACGAGTCTTTTGTTTAATATCCTGTTGATCAAACAACATCAACCAGTTGTGCCAGCAGATGCTGATGGCTCCACAGTGGTCTAGAGACTTCGTACGGAGGGTTGTCAATATTCCTTCTTCCAATTGCGGTGGATGAACCTTACACAGTGCCGCAGCTGCCAAGAAAAAACAGAGCACTGGTGGATAGCTCCAATCAGCTTTCCAGGGCAGGCTGCATCTCAGCTGCAAGACTTCCAGACGGCGGCTGTCTGCTGTCTGCGGCCACCCGAACCCTTCGGGTCAAAATTAGCATGCCCTGCCTTGGATCATACCCAACGTGCCCCGTACGGCACCCTGCAGAAGCAAGGGTCATGGGATGGGGATCCGTCGAGACAAGGGCAAGTGCGGACATGCTTCACATCGACTCACTGTATTGTGGCTTTCAGTCCCCCCCAAGGCGATGTCTCTTGGCTTCCTGCCTGCATGTCAGCCGCATAATTGTGCACGGTGGCCTTGGCAGACGCTGGCGCCAGAAAGCGTGGTGGCTTTGGTAGATTGTAAGGCTTTCTGCGAGGCAACTTCGATAAGTCGTTCATAAACAGTCGATAGACGTCTAGGCTTGTGCTGGTGTTGCATCGATTCATCGGCCCTGCTCTTAAGGCATGGTTTGCCTTTGCTTTAGTGCTGCTGGGCTTCAGGCGATGTTGACACGTTATGACTTGCTTGCCGGGTGGTTTCGGGCGGGCTGAGGAGTCCTCAATCCGCAGACACATACGGTCTCATACGATGCACTCAAAGGACGTCCCCTGCAGCTCCTTTGGGAAAACCATCTCCAGAAACTACATATGCAGATGTGCCGCACGCCTGGAAGATGACGAACCAGAAAGCAGCAAGTAGGGGGCAAACAAGACAAGGAGAAGATGACGCGGTGAAATGATAGCCCTGAAGCAACTTGCAGTAAGCAGAACACATGTCCCCACATTGATTGAGAAGGACATCTTCTGCCAGGCAGCCGCGGCTGCCTCCCGGCCATGCCAGAGATGCTTGTCCTGATCAACGCCTCCATTGGTAGGTCAATGCCAAACGAGACACGTCATGCAAAGACTTATGTGACATCCCCGAACCTTCGAGGACGAGCTGCTCCTTGGACATGCGATGACATGGGTACAGGCGACGACGAAAAGAGAAGCATCTCTGAAGTTTCATTCAGAGATCTCAAAACCCAGCCAGGTCTCACCGCTGCTCTGGGAGTGGCGGATGCGCGTGCCCTCCGAAGTGGCACTGATGCTCTGCATGGCGGCAGGCGGCAGCTTGGACAAAGCACAGGAAAAAGAGCAATGAAGTTGGCTCGATGTACTGTGACTCTGCTTGCATCTGGTAGCCGTTGTACTACATCAAGGCTTTGCTCGACAGCTGCACATCCACGAGGCAAGGACAGAATGCATGGCCTCTCATGAAACTTCTGTAAGCCGCTGTAAGCCTTGCAGCTATGCGATCCATGGCTTTCTGAAACCTTTAGCATTAGAGCTGTGACAGGCTGACAAGCCAACACTGTTGCTGCTGCGTCCCCAGGACTCCAGTCTGAGGAACTAGCCGTAACTAGCCCGGGGCACGACATGGAAGATCTGCACGGGCAATTAAGTCTTCCGACCACAACTGGGATGAGACGGATATGCAATGGACACGCACAATACCACGCTCTATTCAAATTTCCACAAAGAGCCTGAGCTTGATGATCCTTGACGAGCGGACCCTGTGGGACGGGTATCTTTCACTTACATGCTTTGCCTGGAGGAGGAAACAAGCGTGACTCGCAAACGGGGTGTCGAGCAGAACTCATGGAAAATCTAACATCGAAGAGGAGTGTTTGAACATTGAGATGTTTTCTAATGACGGTGCCTGGGTGTCTGTGTGGCTCTGCGCGGTGAAGCGACCTCGGTCAAATAGCGCTGAATTCCCTGCAATACAGTGATACAAGTTTGTTCGGCTGTATCCATATCTCTGCTAGCAAGCAGCTGTGGCAACCCATCCCGAAGTATGGGAGGCCAGTAAGCGCATCAGCACGACTGCAGGAATGAAGCTGCAGCGCCCATTCATAAGCACTGCGGAGTGATGAGCTGTTCAGGCTCTGAGCGTGTGTCTGTCTGTGCGTACGGTTTTTTAGCTTTGAGAGTTGATCATTTTTGCAGCTGTTCCTGGCAGGTGGACTCTGACGTGCGTGTGACGGGCCAACTCGCGAGATGCGGAGAGCGGAGCTTTGCTTGGCACAGCATCCCAGAGCTCACGACTCGCCGACTCGTGCGCTCCAATCGCCTTCAGGAGCCGCTCAAAGACGTGGGCCGCCTGGCTCTCATCCAGGACCTCGAGCAATCTCGAGCATTTCAAGAGAAGACAATTTGAGGCCAGTGACAGCAAGACAAAAGGGTGATGGGAGAGCAATCAACCCCTTCAAGACTGACGCTTCGAGATTGCTCCTGCAAAACCCAAGGGTTTAGGGTCAACTGCTGAGAGCCCGTCGCTTGCAGGCTCGCCTGCGGCTGCTCGTCTCAAAACCAACCGGAGCAACAATGAAGTGAAATGATACTTCCTGAGCACAGAACCTTGAGTAAATCTGTGCAGGTGCTTGACCGTGGAGTCGACCCAACGCGACACAAACGCCTGCAAGAGCATCGTTGGTCTGACAATGACGGTTCGTGTCAGCGGCCGACTGTCGACGCGATGCACTAAGCAATGCCTTCACCTCGTCGGGGGCCGACGGATCTCGCATGTATTTCAAGGCCACCTTCCCGGCAGCATCGATGGATTGCACTACACGGCTCAATCAAAACCCAGGTCTCTGTCTAGAGCAAAACCGTGCATGACCAGCAACCCGGCCTTGCGACCTTCATCGATGCTGTCATAGGCCTTCTTCCGCGTCTGCCAAGTTTCGACACGAAGGTCGAAGTCCAGTTTTTAAGAGGCTGAACCATCAGTCAGTCGTCTCACACAGCTGGTCATAGCTGGTCTTCGTAGCATCGTAGACACATGAATGCGGCCAGACGTGCATGATGATCAGGTGAGCCGTCCTTGCCAGACAAGCCCATCGAGTCGAGAAAGTCCCACAGCTTTGGCAGGTATCTTTGTTCCTGACACCGTTCAACTCTCTGGAATCTCTGGAAGCGCCTTTGCCACTTGCGTCCCGCTCCTCGAAAGCCCGGTCGTGCGCCGCCAGGACCAGTCGCTCCAATTCTGTCTGCGGCCTTCCGAGTTCGGCATGGAACCATCCCCGCCGCGAAAGCTCACTACCACACTTACCAGACCTCCAATTCTCGATGATTCAACAATAAACTCAGAAACTCAGCGAGACCTTGAGAAACTCGGAGAGCTGAAATGGCTATTAGCGTTGACATGGCCCATGTCGGGCCCCATGGTCTTCACGGGCGAAAGTGATA